ACTATCACCATGACTTGGTTCTTGCCGTGCCTACTCTTGACGCCAGCGTCCATGAAGTCGATGGACACCGAATCTCCTGGCTGATCAGGAATAGGCAAGGGTCTGAGAAGACCTACCGGGGCACGCGTAGTAGTCTTATTCTGCTGGTAAACTTTACAACTGCAGACTTACTCTATGCAGTCATTCTTCATTCCTGGCCAGGTGTACGCGGGCATTAGATTGGCTAGAGTCTTTTGCCAACCAAAATGACCCTCTGTGTCGTGACATTCCCCTAAGATCAGACTACGGATCTCCTCACTATTGGGAATGCACAGACGGTCAACTACGTTAGTCTTCTCAAATAACAGCCCGTCAGTAGTGCGGTAATCTGGCTCGGTCTCTGGGGCCTCCTTTACTCTCTTGAGGAGGTCACTATAGATAGGGTCTTGCGCATACGCCTCTTTAACCTTTTCCTGCAGGTCTCTCCCTATGTCCAGATAGTGAACTATCGCTCCAAAGTAGTCAGCTCTTCTACTTAGAGCGCCCGCAACTACATTATATTTCCCCTTGACTGGCTTGAGCTCAAAATCGTACTGGTCTATTTCTGCGGCCCACCTAGTAAGCTTAGGTGTCATCTTGGCCTGCGTCTTTAACCATCTTAACGTCTCGTGGTCGGAATAGACTTTGAAGTGCCTCCCAAGCAAGTAGTGCTTCCAATGGTCTAACGCTTGCCTGAGAGCGTAGAGTTCCCTCTCGTAGGTAGATGTCGCTACCTTCTCCGAAGACATCCTGGCAGACATGAACTCTACGGGTCTATAATCATTGCCATTGTCTTGCTGCAGAACAACACCTATGTCGTACTGACTGGCGTCTGTAGTGACGACAAAGGGTAAGGACGGGTCAGCCACCTTAAGGACTGGGTACTCTATCAATGCCTGTTTCAACTTCTTCATGGCAGACATGCAATCCTTATCCCACTTCCAGATGGTTTCTTTCCTTAGCAATCTGCGAAGGGGCACAGCGATAGTGGAGAAGTTCCTTACGAACTTAATATAATAGTTCGTTAGGCCTAAGAATGACCGCAACTCTGTTAACGTGCGCGGCGTAGGCCAATCCTTGATCGCTGCAATCTTACTATCCTCTGGCTTGATATGTTAGCTTCTCTCAGCTTCTCCAAGACCTGCCTGAGATGACCCTGATGCTCCTGGAGGGTCTTGCTAAACACTAGGATATCATCCAAATAAACTACAACAAACCTATCTAACCACGACCTAAACAAATCATTCATACATCGTTGGAAAGTCGCTGGCGCGTTGGTTAGTCCAAAGGGCATCACTATGAACTCGTAGTGCCCGTATCTAGTCCAGAACGCTGTCTTGTACTGATCATCAGGATGAACCTCTATCTGATGATATCCGGACTTCAAATCTATCTTCGAAAAATATCTGCACCCCTGCACCCGATCTAAAAGATTGTCTATCCTGGGCAGTGGCTCAACATTCTTAACTGTGATAGCGTTCAGACCCGTATAGTCTATACACAATCTAAGCTCTCCCTCCTTCTTGGGGACAAACAGAACAGGTGCTCCAAATGGAGACGAACTGGGCCTAATCCAACCCTTCTCTAGGAGCTCATCTAGCTGCTTGTGCAGCTCCTCCAACTCCCGCGGGGACATCCTACACATTGCTCCCTTGGGGGTCCTACTGCTAGGCTCAATCTCAATACGATGCTGGATTGGCCGCGGTACTACTCCTATCAGCGGCTTCGCTAAGTCAGTGAATTCTTCCAGTAGCTTGGCAATAGCAGGGTCTATAGATTTCTATTCCTTAGGCTTAGTGGCTGGCCTAACATAGGCTACAAAAACTTGTTCCTCTAGCTGCTCCTTTTTCACTAATCTTGCGAACGCAGGAGCGCTAAGGCAGCAATGCGCCAGGGAGTTATCTACCCCTGAGGCATGAAACAAACGGGCAGTCTTGACACCACCTGATGGACTAGGGAGCCTACACTCGTGCTCTCTCAAGTGGAGTGTGGCCCCTGCTGCCTCTCGCCAGTCCATACCTAAGACTATGTCAAACGGGAGGCTATCCTCTACGAGGAGAGTTGGGGACCTTGACCCCTTCCGCCCGCTTGGCGGTTTGCTCCTCTGCCGCCAACCTATGAAACACCCGCGGATCTCGGATGGCGGACGCAGATGGGGCCGCGTCCGCGACCGACCTGGTCCGCGCCGCGGACCCGATTTTACCAGAATTTTCCTGAATTAAATAATAGGTTTAAAAAAAA